TCACCCATTTATCTCCGTTCGAACACCGTTAGTATTTGGGAGAAGACCTTCGAGCCATACCTTGACCCAACACAGTGACCACCTTATAATGGTTATGAGTACGTGCCGCATCCGGATCTAATGAAGGTAGGGAAGGGTAGGAGAAAGAAGAAGCGACTGAAGGGGGACATGGACGCTATGAAAGGGTACGGCGAAGACATGTATGGCGGGGGAGACTTCAACGAGACCCATGGCAGGAATCTTTGCTCCGTTTACAAACAATCTGGCCACAAGGCTAGCAGGCATAGAAGGCAACAGGTGATTTCATATTGTGTTCGTATTGCATAACAAATAGTTCAAATTTTGCAATGCTACATAATGTTAATCTAAAAATTGTTAATTTAAATACTCTAACCCTTTGTTTATCATTTTGTAACAGGATGGCCCCTCCCACGCCGCACCAGCTGATCCCCCTTCTTGATGTGGAGTACGACGACCCCCTTCTTATACCGGACGACGAGGTTCATTACGTCATGGGACTTAGTTCATTACGTTGAACTTATGTCGAACGAATATTATCGTCGAAAACTTGTAGACTCATAAACCAATGAAAATATTATATGGCAACTTATCGTCTATTTATTTGCTTCATGTTCGTTTTGTACAGCACTTGTAGTTTTGTACAGCACCGACAACAACTCAATTGTAGCTGGCCGTTGTCCATCCGCGCACTGACTTGCCATGTACTATGGCGCGGCACAGACGTGTCGTGGGCTCTGGCATGGCAGAACCATGCCTATGGGGCACCAGAACCTGGGCTATGGCGCGATAAATGATTACGTTCATTTTAGAAATTATGAACGCATGATACAAACAGATGTGATCACTTAAGATCGATCATGGGTAATCCGAGTACATAATACATGGGTACAATACATCAGTAATTCAAATGGAATATAAGACAACATAATAGAATTTCTACTACATGGCTACATTGATCATTAATAAAACATGGAACTAACAGACGGCGCAATCAAAAACCCTCAGTCAGAAATGTACTGAGTAAGCAACTCGTCGTCCGAATACCAATCCTCAACCACAACCCTGTTGTTGTGGCTATGCTCACCTGCGTTGCTCTGACCTGCCTGTCGCCTGTAGTAAGCGGTCTCCGCTTCATCTGCGGCAGCTGCGGCCTGAGTGAAGAACACGTCGTCATCCTCCTCCTCCTGTAAGCCCACCTCTGCTAGAGCGATGAGCTCGCTCAGTCTGTCAATGTCGTCCTCATCCTCCTACACCTGCAAGCCCGCCTCTGCTAGAGCGATGAACTCGCTCAGTCTGCCAGTGTCGTTCTCATCCTCCTCCACCTGCAAGCCCGCCTCTGCTAGAGCAATTAGCTCACTAAGTCTGGCAGTGTCGTCCTCATCACCGCCCCCCTCATCAGACAACACAATCGGTGATTCAACGGTGCGACCAGCTCGCTTTCTATGCTCATCTAACTTCTTTTCCTCGTACCTTGCACGAGCCACCTCTACAGCATGTTCCTCGCTGTATCCAATCCCTTCATGTATAAAATGTAATCAGTTAGCAACGTGATTATATTACATTTAAAATCAGACAACGAAAAAAGGCGTTCAAGCACTTACTGGCACATAATGCAGCAACATGCTCGTTCAAGACCTGCATCTGTACTCTTGTCTCCTCCCTTGCCTCCTTCCTTGCCCTCTCCTCCTCTAAAGTCATCCGCCTCTCCAATCCCCATTTGTTAAGCCCAACATCGATCGGGTTACAAATACCGCGCTGTCTAGCAAATTCACGCATCTTTTCTTTGTGGTGTTTAACGAATAGGTTGACGTAGTCAGGTCCATATCCCCTCTTCCTTGCAATTAGTTGCCTCTTCTTCAGTTCATCGAAGAACTTAGCTTGACCATCGTAACGTTCCCACCTGCATTTCCTAGTGGTCTGTTCAAAATAAATATTATATCATATATGTCTGAGCAAAAGAAACAAAATACGATTTCATGTTTACCACAAAAAAATGAACCTCTTCGTACTCAACCATATGGCCGCAATAATGGCCTATTCCAAGCTCCAAAGGAACTAGGTCATAGTTAGAATTAACACCACATTCGCACTTGACTGGTGGTGCTTTGTAAATTAACCTTTCTTTCTTCTTTTATTTTGCTTTTGGAGGTTCTTCGGGCTATTTGTTCTTAGGACCATACAACCACTTCTTGAAACGACACTTCGCCATTGAATACACCTAAATAACGTGATATTAGTACATGACACCTATAGCTCAATATTTCAACACATACACTTTGCACTTACTTCATACTTGTTTGGACACACAAACTCCAACGTATTGTCAGGGTTTATCACGGCTCGGTCTCCACAATGGCACAGAGGAGGTTCCTCGAGTCGTCTAACTGCGGCTAAGTGCTTCTTCTTAGCCGTCATTGGAGGGGGGTTAGGGGGAGGTGGAACCCACCGCTCGAAGTGCTCTCGTGGATGTCGTCCACTTCACCAATCGTCGAAAAGGAGGTACCTAGGGTCAAACTTGTCTGCACCGTCGATCCACTGAAAGAAAAAGCACCTCTCATGGTCCTACACAACAAAAAAATTATAAAAATATTAGTAATCTAGTAATACAAATGAAGAAGAAAAAGAGTGGGAATAATTACTTACATTAAAATGACTGCACGTGTAGAAGCAACGAGCCGCTGTGTCCGGATGTCTCGATTGAAACACGTCGGCCGGACGACCAGTCACAATTAGAGACAGGGAGTTCAGGAGGGACGGGGCATATTTGCTAGACTCGTCGGGGTACATTTCTCTAGGACGACCCCGTTTTCGCCATAACTGCTCCCGAAACATGTCTTTCATCTAATAAAACGGTTCAAATTAAACATCAATCAAAATAACGCAAATTAATGTAAAATGTAATCATTTGCGATGCAACTAAAATATTATAAACAACAAGTATAGCAATAAAAATATACATGTCAAACATACTTCTAACTAAATAATTAACCTTAACATTGATAAAATCAAACTAATATGTTCACCATAGTTTCAAACATAATTTTCCTACTAAACATAATATCCTATCCATCATTCAAACAAAAATAAAATGTGCGTCATTACCTTGGACTAGGACAAGGAGGGAGGGAGTTGGCCGGGGAATGAAAGGGAAGGGAGGGAGGCGGCAATGGAGGGCCAGGCTGCCGCCGTTCATGGCGCGGCCGCCGGCGTGCTTGGCGATGGGCGGGAGCAGGAGCGACGCCTAGGCCGCTTTGCTGCTCGGGCAGCGGGACTGGCCGCGGCGGAGGATATACCCGGCTCTGCCGCGCCATGGATCAGGGCGCGGCAGAGCCCTGCCCCGTCAGCGGTCAGCGCTTCTGGTCGTCGCCAGGTCAGCTCCCTGCCGCGCCACCATGCATGGCACGGCACAGGCATTTGGCCGCGCCAGGGAAATTGACGCGGCCAAAAGTGTTAGTTTAAAAAAAAACGAGAGTGTTAGATTTAAAATTAGTTTCGAAAAAGTGTTAAAATTAAAAAAATATGATCGATCGGATGCACTAATACTAATTTTAGCTGTTATTATTAGCGTCTAGTATGAAATCATCAAAACAGCTCTTCCTAGACCCTCCTAAAGCTTCGAGTAAACTGAATCCCAAGTAAGCCGACATTTTCTCTTCTAGCTACTGACGCAAATGGGGTTCCAAAATGCCTAGTTCTGGATCAGGTACAGAACTACTATTTGGCCGGTTAAACGACGGAGGAACCACCGGCCGGCTCTGTGCCAAGGTAGCCACACGTACACGTACTGCGGCTGCGGCTTTATCGATCAGCTACTCCGCTCTGCGGTCGCCGGCCGGCCGGCCAGGTTCACGGGGATCACGCGGCGGCCGTCGCCCATCTGGGTCTGGCCATCTCCCTCTCCGCAGTCCAGTCCGCACCGTCATCTGGGGCACCACCACCACCACCGGGTTCACACGCGTCTGCATGCGCCGGCCGGATAGAGAGCATCATGAGTTGATGACCCATGCATGCATCTCGCACATTGACTTCTCTACAGGCGCGTTCTTCAACGGACTGTGGTCTGTGTGGACCTAGGTAGCACGGAGAGTGCATCGTTGATCATGCATGCCGGCCGTCTCGATCGTTCTTCAACGGCAGTTTGGCCGAAAGGACGATGATTGCAACAGGGGAGAAGACGACTAGTAGCAGTCTAATAAGGCGTCGTGTCAAGCGCGAGTCACCGTACTGTTGTTACTGGTCATCATCGCCGTTGACAGTCGCTGAACAAAAATATCTCAGCCAAACCGCCTCGTATCTGGTATTTCATCCATTCTAAATTGTAAGTTTTTTCAAACTTCTATATATAATGACCTTTGCTATATGTCACTAGATTTGAAAGGGGAGGAGTTACTCAAAAATATGGATTCAAATATCACCACACACTCGTAAAAGGTTGGTTCATTGTGTTAGTTATAGCAATTGTTTTATATTTACAAGTAAGAAATGATTTGGTTTTATGGTAACTTATTTTATAATCACGTGAGTATATACTATAGTACGTATACGTATCTATTTCGGGTCTTCTTTCTTTCTGGTACGGAATACTAGTGAAGAACCTGTGAGCTGGTCCGTTGGTACGTGAAGTCGCGTGCAGCTGGCCGGCCCTACGATTAGGATGGCGTCACAAGCATACTCTCCGTTGATGCCACCATTAATCCGGTCACATGTCCACACCAACCGCTCGCCACACACCTGGCCGCCACTTTTGCCTTTTTTTCAGTTTTTTTCTCCCCGCCGTCACCGGATCACCGCCATGTGGGACCCTGGACGCGCCACGTCGGCACCCTACCGCCCGTGAGGCCGTGACCCCCGTCACTCCGGCGAGCCATCTATATATACCAGCATCAGAGAACGCCAGAAGATCGACCGGGGGTCACCGTCGCCGAGCGAGCTGAGCGGCTGAGCCAAGCCGAGGCCAGCAGCGCCAGACCACGTCCACGATGCCGCAGCAGAACGGCGGTTGGTCGGTGGAAGCGCAGCGGGGGACGACGAAGCAGCCGGCGGCGGCGCGGCGGGGGCGGCACGGCGCGGTGCTGGTGCTGGTGCTGGTGCTGCTGCTCCGCGTGGGCGCGCTGTGCGCCTCCGCGGCCTCGGCCGCGCTCGCCGCCTCCTCCGCCACGCTCCGGCGCGCGCCGTTCCGGTTCCTGCTGGCGGCCGACGCCATCGTGGCGGTGTACTCGGCGTTCGAGGCCGCCGCCGCCGCGTGGGAGGTGGCCAGGGGCGCCACGCTGCTCCCGGAGGCCATGCAGCTCTGGTTCGACTTCGCCCACGACCAGGTAACAACAACATGCTGCTGTATACTCGGTCGGCATGGCGCCCGCTGGGATCGGAGCTCAGGAATTAATTAAGGTCGTGCACGGACACACGCATCGCATGCATGCAGGGCTTCGGCTACATGGCGCTGGCGGCGGCGGCCACGGCGGCGCGTGACGCGGCGGGGTGCGGCGGAGGGCGGGACGAAGGGTGGACGACGAGCGGGGGCAGCGGGGCCGCCCTGGCAGCGGCGTGCGTGCGGGCCGACGTCGCGGTGGGGCTCGGCTTCGCGGGGTTCGCCTTCCTGGCTCTCGCCGCGCTCGTCACCGGCTTCCGCGTCGCCTGCTTCCTCGCCACCGGCTCCCGGTTCTCGCCGCCGCCGCCACCGGCCTCCTACTGATATATCATCGCCGGCGGCGCTTCGGCCTTCGGGTCGATCGGGAGCTAACCGATCCATCCAGCGGCTGGTACTACTGATAGATAGCTTCGGCACCGGAGGACTGGACTACCAGGTAGTGTGCGTGCTTTTGCAATTGTGTGTGAACGACGGGTGAGTGGTGGAGAGTGAACTTTGGCACTGGCAGCATCACGAGAAAGAGGAAGAAGGATGGCAATGGAGCAGAGGAGAAAATTAGGACAAATACTACAGCCTGTTCGCTTGCTCGTAAACGATCGTAAATTTCCAGCCAGAAATAGTGTTTTTCTCTCACACCAAACCAGCCAGCAGTAAATAATCCACGATACGATACGGCCTCCCGAACAGGCTGTAAGAAAGAGGAGGGGGTAAAAACACGACAGCAGCTTTTGAGTATTGATTGATTGACAGAGCCAAGAGTGATTTCGATCTAACTAAAAAAATCTACGTAAGGAACACCCCCTCTCTTTGCTTATTTTGGGCTCCTGGAAAGTGCACGAGCACGTACAGCATCACGTGGACAACAAACGTGACCTGGAGCTCGAGGAATGCTGAGTGCGAGCCTACAATTATTATTACCGATGTTGCTCGCCAAAGTGCTGGTCGCTCCACTCCAGATTACTACCACTCAAAATGAACTCTCCATTGGCCGCATTTGCCTCCTGTTTTCACCTTTACCATGTACTACCATTCTTCATCACGGGTTCTTTTTTAAACCTCGTTGTATGTCAATGTCAAGGCAGCACGGAGCGTAATCTACAAGGTTCAAACTTGTGCGATATTCTGCGCGTTAATCAGCAGCAAAAACCTGGCCCGTCGATTGTCAAATTCCTACGTATCGACAGAGGCAGTTGCGGCCCACTCCGTGTCCGGTCCGCCCCTGCTTGCTTGGCTGGGCCTGAGCCGGGTTGAAAGCATTCTCACATCTTTTTTGTGGGAAAAAGTTCATTTGACCTCAGATATACGCCATCCGAGTTCCCTATTTGAAGTACACCCTAATAAACTACTATTTAATACCAAACAAATCACATCCTGATTCAAAAAAAAAAAAAAAATCACATCCCTCGCTGATTTTGACAGTGGTTTTAGTGGACATGCCACGTCAGCACCTATGGGGAATAGATTGGACTATATTAGTTCTAGGGTCAAATGGACTTTACAAAACATATAGAAATATTTTTTTAATAAAATTGTCCATGTTCTTTTCGCAGAAGACGTTATGCTATTCAAAATTTTAAAATCTTGTTTGATCTTAGAAAAATTGTGAAATATTATTCTAGTTTGAAAAGGTATGAAATCTAGTTTTTTCTTCTAAAATCGCACTATCTTTTGGCATCTAGTCTGGAGTTATTTGGTTTTTCTATGGTCTTTTTTTTTATTTACTAGTAGATGCTCTCATTTGTCTATTATAATTAGTTTACATTGATATCCCACGCTAAATAGAAGGCCAAGACGTGTTTGAATAAAATGAAGAAGGCCAAAAGACTTGACGAAAACACAATTGTCATGTAACCACAAACGTAAGTATCACTTGATCAAAAGTTAGGCACATTGAGTATTGACCAAATATTTTTGTGCGTTTCAAATGGCCTATTATTATATCATGCAGTTTCTGAAGTTAACTCAATTCAACTCAACAGCAATTATCTTTGACCAGATAAGATTAGTGCAACAAATACATATCATGTTTTCTTTGGACCAACATTAACATGGTCGTAGATAGGATCAAGTGACACTCGTGTTGTAGTCGAAGTCACCTATGCCTCTATGTAGTCTGGGTCATCAACTTTAAATAATTATAACAGATGAGGATAGCATTTACTAAAAAATAAACACAAAAAAGAGACAATAGAAGATACAAATAACTCCAAGCTACGCGCCATAAAATATAGTATGATTTTAGGGAAAATATAAAGCTCTTGCTTCATATTTTTTTTTAGCTAAATAGAATTTCTAGGATTTTTCTAAATTAATTTTGCACATGTATATCTAACCATGAACTATCGACTAGTCCAATTTACCCCTGCCGAGGATAACATGGAGCCATTTAGGCTAAAACTTTTGTCAAAACCAACTAGGGGTGAGATTTATCGTAGATTAGACAATTTAGGATATATGATATTTGGTTTTGTATTTTAGGGAGAAAAATCGGATGATGTCAATAGTAGTGGGGATCAAATTGACATTTTCTATCTTTGTCTCGTAAGCCACAACGGAGAAGAAAGTAATAAACCAGGGGAAAAACCTTTTTCTTCTTCTACTATAGTCGTGGTTTGATTTTCATCATCGAACTTCAAAATAGGACATTTTACTCCCCCCATAGTTCTAAAAAATCATTTAAATTACATCAATTACATAGTTAGAAGTAGTTTTTATGGCGCTTTCATGGGTTTTAAATAATTTTTTCAAATACTTAATAAACTTTTGGAATCATGAAAATTATTTCTAAGCTTCTAAATTTTTTGAGAAAATTCTAAAGATAGATTGGGACATGAAAAACCTAAATAACATATTTAAAGCTCATGAAGTATCTCTAAAGCTTACAAAAATGTATTTAGCTCTAGAAAAATGGGGAAAATATAAAGAACAGAGAAACCTCAAAACATTATGATCAATGTATAAACGAATTTTAATTTTTTCCACACCAAAAATATGAGATACAACCCACATGAATGCAACATATGTTAATGCTAAATGGATTCCTACTGGTTGCATATCGTATTTTATTGTCAAAATTTTTTAATACGCCTTTACACATAGATAAATGTTTTAGAATTTTTTCTAGACTTTGTTTGATATTTTCCTAGAATCAACTATGATTTTTGGAAGCTTATCTAAATATTTTAGTTGGGTTTGTTGCATCTCAATCTACCTTTAGGGTTTTCTCAGAGTTTTTAGAAGTTTAGGAGACATTTTCGTGGGTATTTACTGATTTTAAATTTTGAAAATTGAACCTCCACCAAAACCTCTTTTAATCGGGTGATTTAAATGGTTTTAAGAGTTGAGGGGAGAAGGGATAAGATGTCCGGTTTTGGAGTTTATATAAGGAGAGAAATCCAATCTCTCTCTCTCTTTATATATATATATATATATATATATATATATATATATATATATATATATATATATATATATATATATATATATATATATATCACACGTACTGTTCTGTAGCTGACCGCAGAATAAGTTATTCTGTGACCACTTTGAGTTACGATAATTACTATACTAATTTACGAGATTATGGTAACTCCCTCGTAAGTGATTTACTATAGCATTATGGTAAGTATCATCTTGAATTATAGTAACACATGTATCGTAAATGTGTATTATCATTATCGTAAATTGGTATAAACATTATCGTAAATCAAGGTGGTCATATAATAAGTTATTTTATGGCCAACTGCAGAATAGCCTTACCGTATATCACACACACACACACATATATAGGTTGACGAAAACGAGTGATCGAATATTCATCTCCCTAGTCACTCTTGACAAACTTGGGTATCGGAGAGTCGCCACTTCCCACTAGTCCTCGTTGGAGCACCCGCGCAAGGGTGTAGCTCCCCTTTGATCCGCGCAAGGATCAAGTGCTCTCTACGGGTTGATTCTTCGACACTCCGTCGTGGTCAATCGCCGACAACCACTCACAACTTGAGTTGGGTCATCCACAAGCTCCGCCGGATGATCATCAAACTCCCGATCATCACCAAGCCGTCTAGGTGATGGCGATCACCAAGAGTAACAAGCGCAAACTCTCACTTGACCACAACAAACATAATGAGAAAGGTGGATGCACACTTGCTACTCTCTTTGCACTAATGAGGCCTTAATCTTAGATTCTCAAATCTCAATCACCTCACTAAGCTCTTGCTCTTCTTAGCACTCACAAAGGTGTTTTATAGCTGATCAAATGGGCAAAAGTCCTCCCTTGGATGAATAAAGGAAGTATTTATACCCCCTCATTCAAAAAGAACAGTTAGGAGGTTAAGTCAGCACTCTGCGGGGTGACCGGACACTCCGGTCAGTTGTCCCACCACAGAGCAGTTAAGTTGTGATCGGACTCTGACCTGCGTTCGGTCAGCACTGACCGGACGAGTCCGATCACGAAAACTGCTCTCTGGAACCTTACTGATGTTGACCGGACGCTAGCACCTAGAGTCCGGTCACTTTGTTGTTCAGCTTCCGGTCAGTAACCGAAACCTAACCAGCGTCCGATCAACACTGATCGGACACGTCCGATCAGGATTCTCCCTCTCTGGAACCTCTCTAGAGTTAACCAGACTCTGGCACCCAGTGTGCGGTCACATTTTACTCAGCGTTCGGTCTCAACCAGACGACTTCAACTTGATCAAATAAACTAACCAGACTCTGCTGCCAGCGTCCGGTCACAACCGGACCAGTGTCCAGTCAACATTTGACCATCCATTCACTTCCAACTTGAAATCATATGTGAATAAAGTTTGCTCCAATTGATCTTAGGGCTACTCCGGAGCTACCTAGTGCCAGATTTGACAAGTGTGCACCATACCTAACACACTAGACTCACCTAGGTCAAACTACTAGTCCATACCCCCCTTAATAGTACGGCCAAAGGAAAAACAAAGTTCTAAACTACTCTAAGTGTCTTTTCAACACCAAACAACACTTAGAACTAGTCCATCCTTAACCTTGTCGTCCATTCTTTGAAAACCAAAATGATTTCCATCATAGGGGCATGACAACCATGATTGCTCAATCAATTGCCATTACCATGACCTAACTTAATTGCCTCTACAAAATACACGTTAGTCATAGTAATCTCGTATTGTCATTAATCACCGAAACCTAACTAGGGGCCAAGATGCTTTCAATCTTCCACTTTTTGATGATTGATGACAATACAACCTCAAGTATGTGAAAGAGATGAGGTTTTCAACATGCTTGGTTCATATAAGCTTTTGACAATAAGAGCAAAGGAGTTAGACATGCTTATATGACCC